GCTTGTCAAAGTAAAATTTTAGCATAACAGATGTAATGGCTGTTACATCAAAGCAAATTTATCCAGGTCTAAAAATATTTATGATACATATAGGTGATTTAGCAACATATAAAACCATGCAAATCATTTAGCTAAGTATTAGCCTGAACTGGTAAGCAACAGTAGCTATTTTCCCCAAAATGGCAGCTATGGGGCAAAGTGAGCCAAATGTTGTGGGGTAAATTGAGTCAGCATTTTAACTTAACCCACCATAAGGGACTGTAGTTAAGTTAAATCTCTGAATTATAAACTGGTGTTTTAATGTGATATTACTGGTTTATCATATCATATATACTGTACATATTATTTGTAGTTTATTTGATAGGGACAGTGTACAAGTGCACCAAATCCTTACCAGAAAATGCTTTTCATCACATTATAATCAGATATATCTTTCCACCTGTAGTCACTAATGGCCAACAAACTCTCTGTTTAGTCTGTTTTTAGGAAGGCTACAGCTTTGGTGTTCAACATATTGTTTCAGAAATGCAAACAATTAAATACTGAAATTTAAACTTAATTTGGTTGGTTTTATGTTGTTAAAGTGAACTTTATGAAAAGAAATATGACTGTTTGTAAATGGAAATTATTAAATTAGTTTTTAAATTGTTATTTATTTCACATGGGTTTGAATCAGATTTGGCCAGATGGTCATTTTACACCCAGATGGTGCATCTTACCCACTGACTCGACTCGGGTCAACTTACCCCTAACCTGACTGAGCCATGAGAACCATTTTTGATAAGAAGCCATATTTTTAAAACCCTTTGCCATAGATACATTCTGATCATTTAAAATTATAGGAATACTTTCATTCGTATAGGATAGATTCTTTCTTTGTATTTCTGCATCATTTTCCCTTGAGGACCACATAAGTAAAAAATGGCTAATCTTAGCCCACTCTCCCATATAAGTATTAGACATTTATTTTAATATTTTACAGCATTAATCTATATTATATACAACTATTATATGGGGGAAGTCGTGGCCTAATGGTTAGAGAGTCTGACTCGTAAACCCAAAGGTTGTGGGTTCGAGTCTCATACCGGCAGGGATTGTATGTGGGGGGAGTGAATGTACAGTGCTACAGTGAGCAAGGCACCGAACCCCCAACTGCTCCCCGGAAGCTGCAGCAAAAAATGGCTGCCCACTGCTCCGGGTGTGTGTTCACGGTGTGTGTGTGTTCACTGCTATATATTTAGTTATAAATGCAGAGCACTAATTCCGAGTATGGGTCACCATACTTGGCCACATGTCACGTCACGTCACTTTTTTTTTTTTTTTTTTAAATAAACAACTCATTTAGAACATTTATATTTTTTTTTAACTATTTATAGGCCTACTATTAATATGGTTTTAATAAAATATGATGTGTTATAGATACTAGTATCAAGAAGACAAGTGATTATAATGGGAAATATACTTAATTACAATAATTAAAGTGTGAATTTTGTGTTATGTTAGATCTGATCGGGTATAATAATTTGATCAGACATTCTAATTCTAAGAACGTGGACATTTTGTTGTAATCACTTTTAATCACTTTACCGACAGAAATACAAAAACAAACTACCAAATTATTAATTTAGCGAATCATCCACTGACTGTAATGTGGATTGTAATGCATCTACCTGTTAATGAACGACCTTCGGGAGTCTCCACTCCAGATAGCGGATCTTTAGTGGAGCGATAACCGAACGCTTTCAGAGGGGCACCTCAGCCGATGAGGGCAAGGGGGCAGTGGCTCTAGCCAAAGGGCCACCCCCCTGTGCACGGCCCTGGTGTGGAGGTTGCACATATGTGGATGGATGCCTGCAGGCAAGCCATTATTTTTCACCCATCCAAAATATAATTCAGCTTTGTTAGTGAGTAAACTTAATTTTATTACATTTAGAGGCATACAAATTATTTATGTGTTATGGAGGATACAAATGTTAAGCCTATTGGTTTGTTGTCTAGAAGCAACATTTACTAGTCTACACAGTAAAAAATGCTGGGTTAAATACAACCCAGTGCTGGGTAAAATAGGGACAAACCCAGCAATTGGGCTGTTTTGACCCAGCGGTTGGGTTAAACATGTTTTGACCCAAAACAATTGGGTTGTATTTAACCCAGCATTTTTTAGAGTGTAGTTACAGTTAATATTGCACACCTGTTTTTGTATTATCCATTATTACCCATGATCTTTTTTCCATTACCCTTTTTAGTTTTTACCCAACATTTAAGTTGCACTATTATTTGTTGTTTAACAGATCTTTACTGGGGTTTTTTTATTTTTAGTAGTCAATACAAATATTTTAATAAATAAAAACCTGCATTTTTATTGTTACATTATCACATAATGCGTGCAAAAAAACAAAACAAAAACAAACAAAAAACTAAAATATACCCCTCTAATACTTTTTTTATTTTTTATTTTATAAATGAGTTCAATTTAATGTAAAGATAGCAAACGTTTTAAACACAGTTGAGGGTTACAGAATTACTTCTAAAGTAACTATATGTGCTTTGTTCTCAAGAATGCTGCAGACATAACCACTCCCGCTAAGTGACCATTTGTTAAAGTCTTTTAATTAAAAAAATTATTAAAAATGCACTTAATGTTTAGAGGTTAAACCACAATGTGTATCTTTTGCACATGTATAATAAAAACAGATTCAATAGGTATTTTTTCCACTCTAAAATGTGGGCTTGGCTACTGCTATACAGTTCCTCAATTCATGCAACATGCAATTTTTAAAGAACACAATGAAGGGAAACAATGGAATACAATATTATCACATTACCTACCGGTCTACAATCACCTTAAGTTCCGTACCAACGACATGCACAATTTGTGTGGGTACATTGATTTCCAGTCGACAGGTCCGCTGAAACATGTTAGTCATGTCTGACCCCTTCTTTCTCTTTCGCAGACTCCGAGGTAAGCTGACTGACCGTGTTTGCTGCTGCGACATTTCCATTGTTACAGACTTCCACGTCTACAGGTCTCAAATAACCCATTTTCCCCCTTGAGAAATAGGGGCGTATGATGCAGCAGGAGAGAAAAGACATGTTCTCACCTGTTCAAAAACTAGCTCAAAGCTACAAATTCCTTGAAAGCATTTAAAAGCAAAGCTTATCAGATTAAACATGTGGTTATTGACCAACAATGCCTGAAGACTTGATGAGTAGCTCAGTAAAAATGTAGACATGGTTTGTTTGCTGGAAAGGTCAAGAATTATGCTAATTTGCCTTACAACATCAAACAGTATTACTGATGCATGTCAAATATTTAGTTTGTCTGCATAATAATATATTTGAAGGCATATTCACCACTTTCTATGAAAATCTGTGAACTTAAATGCTTGCAAGTAAGCATTGTTAATATCTGCTTTAACAAGAATTAACGCACGTTATTATTAGCACCATGTCCTGAAGTTTTTTTTTTCTGTTTTGAAGATATCCTGATATATTTTTTTCTGTCAAATTATCTGTCTGTCAAATGTCAAAAATTAATTCATTTTAAGACATTGTGTATGATTTATAAGCTTGTTTCCTCATGGGGACCTTAAAAATGTCCCCACAAGGTCAAAATGTACTAGTATTACTATCCTTGTGTAGATATCCTTGTTTATCATAACGTGATAAATACCAGGTACACACACATGCACACACACACACACACACACACACACACATTATATCCTATCAACACATGCATCAATAACCAAACAACTATGATTAACCTGCCTGGGCAATTCTGGTAAGACAAGCTTACCTGCAGGCTTCATTTCTGCAAGCAATGCAAGTAATGTTTGAAAATGTGTAAATGTGTCTGTTCATGTCAAAGCAGACAGTTTTTTTAACACTATTGAACCCAATTTAAAACATGCTTCAGCTAAAAGTTTCTTTTATAATGTTTTTCATGTATATTTAATTCTTTTTTAAATACAGCTAATAGTTGCTTTCATATATTGACCACAGTCATTACAGTAAATGCAATATAGCCTAATGTGTCACACAATATAATGCAATAGCTGTAATAACCTAAATATAATATAAAGATCATAACTAAAATAAATGTATATGTCATATAGATCTTAGATCTTTTTGTTGTTATATCATTGGGCGCAATATATTACTGGTGTCAACATGCTGGCCTAGTTTAAAAATATCTCATCTCAGTATAGTGTCTAATTTATACTTTGAGTTACATCGAGAGTGTAGTCAGAGAACTGGCCCTTAGCACATACATACGAGTTAGATCATTTCAGTCTTACACATCAATAATGGTCTTTAACATAACTTCACATTTGAAACTATGTTGCTGTTGGAACCACTCTTATAAAGCAAACAATCACACGCATTGTTTATTTAGTTATTTAGAGGAAAAATAATATTACATCTTCAGATTTTTGTTGTAAATCAGATCATGAAGATGACCAGGTTGAAAGATGTGGCAGTACTGTGCAAAGTAAAATTCTTTGCTACAAAAAACCCTAACTCTTCAGGGTAGATATTTAATGAACTCAAAATATGATTTACATTTATGTTTTTATAAGTGCAGAGTAGAGTTTGATCACTTTAAATAAATGTGTTATGGGGTTAAAGTTTTGGGTAGGAGACATGCCCATGGTAATAATGAATGAATGAATGAATGAATGAATGGAAGCATTTATATAGCGCTTTATTGTGTTTTGCTGTACACCCAAAGCGCTTTACAAGCAGTGTTGGGGGTAACACATTACAAGTAACGCGAGTTACGTAATCAGATTACTTTTTTCAAGTAACTAGTAACGTAACGCATTACTTTTTAATTTACAAGAAAATATCAGAGTTTCTTTTTCAAATAAATAATGCCAGTTACTTTTTTTTTCCATTTATTGATTGAATGCTCTCCTGTCCCCTTGTTGTGAGAAATCGGGAGTAAGATGTTACTTTAGTTCTAGAGTAAATGTGAACATGCATTAATTCATCTCACTCACAAAAAAAAAAATCAGATTTAGTTTTCCTCAAAATTAATAAAAACAGTTAAAAGCAACTCAGAATATGACTCAAAGCTGCAATAATGAAATATGTTAAATAATACAAATATCCTTTATGTATTTAATCCCATTTATTTGCTGCTGACCTTCAGTGATACAATTCAACCATACTAACAAGCAAAAATTACACAAGATAAACTAACATTTCTTCTTCTTTTTTTTATTGCTGAAGAGTGTTGAACTTTCTCCTTCTGTGCTCTACTGTACAGACGTGAATTTACATTTCCTTCAGCCTGAGGCTTTTGGTGTGAAAGGGCTTTTATATTTGCCAAAAATATAACTTTTTATATTAAAAGCAAACAAGCAAGCCCAGCTCAGATTTAAAAAGTAACGCAAAAGTAACGTAATGCATTACTTTCAATAAAAAGTAACTAAGTAACGTAATTAGTTACTTTTTAAGGAAGTAACGCAATATTGTAATGGATAAAAGTAACTTTCCCCAACACTGTTTACAATCATATGGGAGTCTCTCCTCAACCACCACCTAGTAATAATAATACAAATCTAGCAACTAAATAATTAAAAAGTAATTAAAGAGATGCAATAAAATTGAAACGCTGTTATAATATACGCTTTAAATGATACATTTCAGAAAACGTTTATAACTTAGTACAGCAAACCTGGAGAAAAAGTAAAGGTTGACGGATTAGTCGACTGGCCAATGACGCGAGGCCTCCAGCAGCACGTGACAGAGGGGTGGATCACGTGTCAACGGAAGAAGGCGCTTTTGTTTTTCCTTGGGAAAAAAGTCGAGGGACAATGTTTGGAAAAACGATTTTCAGTTATACTTTATTTTTCTCTCAAATGCATATAGACAATCTTATATAGGACATGAAATCTTTCGGAATACCTAAACCATATTTCATCGTCTTGAAGCTTGTTTGACGCTCCGTTTGGGAATTGTTGAAGCTGCAGAGATTGCAAGGCGGAAGAAGGGAATTTCGAAGGGACGAGCTTGAGAGAGCCAAAAGATGGCTCCGGATTGATTTTATCAGAGCTTTGCAATGCTTTTCAACCTAATTCGGATTTATATGAAATCATATTTCTATTCTAAAACACAGGTTAGTCTCCGTGTCTCGTTAATGTCATAATTTGGACTGATCATTTGCGATCAAGAAACTCAAAATGGCGGAGGGCTGGCCCATCCCCCAGACCCTGTTCCTGCTCATAGTGAGTGTCGCGGGCCTGGACACTTGCCCTTCTCCTTGTACGTGTTCTGGTGGTCCAGCACAACTGCTGGATTGCAATAGGAAAAGACTGACTGCTGCAGCTCTGGAAGCTCCAGTCTGGATCACCCATGCGTGAGTAATAGAGGAGATGTTGTTTACATGCTCTGCTGATCAGCCTCCAGCACTTTGCAGGGGCTGCACATGTGCACACTACTAACTAACGCACAACTGACAGCTGATTCGTTCACATTTGTTTGTTTGGTGCAATTTTAGTGATATTTAGTTATGTTGTTTATCAAATTACTTGGAAGGGTCACATGATGATCCTTTGTAGAAATACTGATGCATCTGTGTTTTTCCTGCAAAATAGCGTAATTGTTATGGTTACGTTTTCATAATACAACTTTGATAGTTTAGTTTTAGTAACAAAAAAAAGCATCGTACACTGATTGGAGGCTAGAGTAACCCTACTATTTGATACATGCATTTCCAACATGATCAAAACTTCCAAAAATGGAAAACGCACGCTAAAATCTTTTTGTGAAATCTGTAAAATCTTTATTTTATAACGTAAACGCAATAATCATTTTTATATTGTTATTCGTACTTTTAATATCAGTATTTTCTGGACTTGAGTAACTTACTTGATTATCCCTTATCATGTTTAGAAAAATCTTGTTAAAACATGAGTCTCAAATATGATACCAGTTTTTGAGGAATGTTTATTAGACAATTGCTAAATTGTCATTGTATTGAATTGCATTATGTTTTTTTGTCCCCCACAAATTAAAACTTGCAGAGCTTTGATCATAAAACTAAGCATTTCAATGTTAAATATTAAGAAGACATGTTATTGAGCGATAAGGACAACTGATATTTACATGCATTTTATGTAAGTAGTCTATTATACAAAAATTTCATTGATATACATTACAAGCTGAATCTAAAATTCATCTAAATTTTTTGGTGACATTAATAAATACATATTTTTGCCTCTGAATAAAACTGAGGTATTTTTTTCTATTTAAATGTGAGCTTCATATTTTCACTATATCATGCTTTATGGGCAATAAAGGCCTCGCGTTTCAAATATGCTACGATATCCTTTTTTCTATCAGTGTAATTTATTTAATTTAGCTTGGTTTTAGTTTGGATGTACTATTCCTAGTTTAGTATACAGCTTAGTTTGTTTGCTTTGTTGTTAATAAATCTGTATTTAAATATATAAATGTTGTGAAAAGTCTTTTACCAGATCTGAAGGTACACATTATTGACTTAGAGATCCCCCAGTCTTAAATATTGGGTTATTTGCTACCATTTTTTCAGGTTTTAATAATTTGTTCTCTGTGAATTTAGGTCTATGAATCAGAATGAACTTACAGCAGTGCCTTTTCTTGGAGATGCCTCATCAAACATCACAGTGCTGTCACTGTAAGTTTCCCTCTATGTTCATTTTTTTCATTAATTGTATATGACCATGTATGTTGATATGGTACTATATCTGCTGTTTATTTTCAGTGTTCATAACCGAATCTCTGAAGTTGTGGCAGAGCAGCTGTTGCCATATTCATCTCTAGAAAGTCTGGACTTGAGCTCTAATTCTATATCTGAGCTTAAGGGCGGATCATTCCCTCCCATGCAGCTGAAATACCTGTGAGTTTTTGTACTCAGGCTTGTCAGAGTTTTGCATAAGATTGTGTTCAAATTCTAAGTAGAGCTTTCTGAAGAAGTTATCCCTTTCCCTTGAGTTATCAGTTTGAGACAACTCAAGTATCAGTTGTTACTTTGATCTTAGTTTTGACATTGAATAATGGACGTTTTCTTAGTGTTTCTGATTACTTTTGGGGTTCATGGATATTTGTCTGTTTCCTCTCTCCATCACGGCAGCAACCTGAGCAAAAACAAGATAGGTTCCTTGGAGCCCAGTTGTTTTGGAAACATCAGCTCCCTTCTGGTGTTGAAGATAAACCAGAACAGACTCTCTCTGCTGCCTGATAAAGTCTTCACCCTCTCTCAGCTCCAAGTCTTGTGCGTATTCATGGCTAATGAATAGGATGTTATTGAAATGCTCAATTTGGGTGCTTTCACACTAGCACTTTTGATGCGCACCCGGGTTCGATTGACGTCAGAGTTCGGTTCGTTTGGATGATGTGAACGCTGTCTTCCGAACTCGGGTGCGCACCCGCGAACCGTACCCGAGTCCGCTTAAAAAGGTCGCTGCTGATGTGAACGCAATTGTACCAAATCGCAGTAGCGAACCGCTATTAATGACATATTATTTGATAAAAATGTGTGTTTGTGTGTGTGTTTCACGCACTTTCCTGACGAGCGTGACTGACGCACTGCGAACAGAGAGCTGTATATCTCATTTCTGTTCGCCTTCAGTGTTCTTTAGAGCATTTGCAGTACATTCGTAAGACAGACGTAAGTGCCGTTATGTACCGAAGCTTTGTAAACAAAACGAACGGTTCAAAAACTTAAATATTTAAAGGGGTCATTTGATGCTATTTTAAAGATAATTATTTTGTGTATTTGGTGTAACAGAATATGTTGACATGCTTTAATGTTCAAAAAACACATTATTTTTCTAATACTGTACATTATTGTAGGTCCTCTATGCCCTGCCTCTCTCAAACGCGTCGTTTTCAACAAAGCCCCCTCCTTTGACAAGCGCAGTCTGCTCTGATTGGCCAGCTGACCCAGTGCATTGTGATTGGCCGAACACCGCAAGCACGCGTCGGAAATGTAACGCCCCTTAACATAATCGCCAGCTTCAGCTTTCAAAGTAAATATCAAGTTAATAATGTCATTAGTTTTACCATCAGTTCAAGCCCGAAAGGGCAACAGAGTCGCGTGACAGACACAGTGATGATGCAGTACACAAGCCGCGGTTAAGACAGCTGCGTGCTATGATTTCTGACAGGCAGTTCACTCTCCTGTGATGTGACCCTGTTCCCCTCACACACACACACACACACGACGCGTTACTCTGCACTGCACAAAACTCTGCATTTGAACAGTCAATAGCAAATACTTAAACTAATAACAAAACATACTTACAGTCGCTGATTCAGAATTCCTTGGAGCCCAGTTGTTTTGGAAACATCAGCTCCCTTCTGGTGTTGAAGATAAACCAGAACAGACTCTCTGTGCTGCCTGATAAAGTCTTCACCCTCTCTCAGCTCCAAGTCTTGTGCGTATTCATGGCTAATGAATAGGATGTTATTGAAATGCTCAATTTGGGTGCTTTCACACTAGCACTTTTGATGCGCACCCGGGTTCGATTGACGTCAGAGTTCGGTTCGTTTGGATGATGTGAACGCTGTCTTCCGAACTCGGGTGCGCACCCGCGAACCGTACCCGAGTCCGCTTAAAAAGGTCGCTGCTGATGTGAACGCAATTGTACCAAATCGCAGTAGCGAACCGCTATTAATGACATATTATTTGATAAAAAGTAATAGCCTTTGTGCCAGCCTTGTACTCTTCTAGGTTCAAAAAACGGTTGTCCATAAAATGCGCTGCACAAATTCGAACATCTGGGTTGTGCTGTTCTGTTGTAATTTGTGTGTGTGTTTCACGCACTTTCCTGACGAGCGTGACTGACGCACTGCGAACAGAGAGCTGTATATCTCATTTCTGTTCGCCTTCAGTGTTCTTTAGAGCATTTGCAGTACATTCGTAAGACAGACGTAAGTGCCGTTATGTACCGAAGCTTTGTAAACAAAACGAACGGTTCAAAAACTTACTGCTGTTCCTGAAACCACGCCTTCTTTCTTTACGTTCACATTTGGGCGGCATTATGCTAATATTTCCACATGAATGTGTTCCACGTGACGTAGATATGTGGGGCGTGTTAGAACGAGCCGTTTTAGGTAGGCGTGGTTGAATCTTAACTTTTATAAAGAATATCTCTTTGGATTTGAGACTTTAGTCTTTGCAACTTTACAGATCTTCTTTATGCACCAAGAGCTTGTAAGCTGTTCCTGAAACCACGCCTTCTTTCTTTGCGTTCACATTATGCTAATATTTCCACATGAACGTGTTCCACATGACGTAGATATGTGGGGGCGTGTTAGAACGAGCCGTTTTAGGTAGGCGTGGTTGACGCTTAACTTTTATAAAGAATATTTCTTTGGATTTGAGACTTTAGTCTTTGCAACTTTACAGATCTTCTTTATGCACTAAGAGCTTGTAACACTCCAAAGAGAAAGGAAAACTTGAAATCGCATCATATGACCCCTTTAAAAGTGCAGAGAGCAATGTTATGCATTTGCCGCCTTCTCCTGCGCCGTCGTTACTAAGCAACAGGGTAAACAGTTGCTGGCTTGATGACGCAAACAAACCGCGGTTTGGACCCAAATAAAATAATATGAACGCAGTCCAGTGGGGCAGGGGGAGGGGGGTTCAATCGAACTCTGGTTCAAACCAGGCAAGCGAACCAAGTGTGAAAGCACCTTGTTGCTTGCTTGTTAGCACCTTGTTAAAGAATGCTGCTTGCTAAATGCACCTGATATTATCAATTGGGGAGTTAATTTCCCTTTTTGTCTTGTCTCTCTCCGATTGTTAGATTTTCTCATTGTAATGTGTATCTCTTTATGATTTTATCACTTTTCAGAGAGTTGAGGCGCAACAGGATTCGTGTCGTGGAAAGTCTCATTTTCAAAGAACTGAAGGCTCTTAAATCGTTGAAGATGCAGCGCAACGGCATCACAAAGCTGATGGATGGAGCTCTCTTTGGTTTGGAAAACATGGAGGAGCTGTGAGTCAATGCTTTCAGGGTTTCACTAGATCATTTAAGATATATGTAGGTAAAAATTGCTATTTAAAAAAATAAATAAAATGTAAGTATTATTTTTAAAGCAATTTTTACTATAATTTGCTACTTGCATTAAACAATGTGGCAATAATGTGTAAAGTGGTGGTTCATTTGGGCGGAGAAAATCAGCCTTTAAGCCATTTTAGAGCAATTATATGAATTTTAAATATATGTCAAATTTGGCCAGAAAGGCTTTATTTGAAACCATAATCTGAACCTGGAGGTTTGATTCTTTTCTGTTTATTTAATGTAGCTAATTTATAATTTAAGTTTCTGTTTCACACGAATCAAAGTAGTGATTTATGGGTGATGTGTGTTCTGTCCTGTGCCAGAGAGTTGGAGTATAATAATCTGACGGAGCTGAATAAGGGCTGGCTGTATGGCCTGCACATGCTCAGGATTCTCCGGGTAAATCAGAACAATATCGGACTCATTCGAGCTGATGCCTGGGAGTTTTGCCATCGCCTGGAAGAGCTGTGAGTGACTTCAGCCCTAACCTTAAAGTTTAATCCTATATACAATACGATGGAATTAGAATGCATATTCCCCCCCCCCCCCCCCCTGTTTTGTCTCCAGGGATTTGTCTTTCAATCACTTGAGTCGTCTGGAGGATTGGGTGTTTTCTGGCCTCAGTCTCCTGCAGAGTCTCAACTTGGGTGACAATCAAATCGCACACCTGGGAGAAGGAGTGTTCAGCAGTCTGGCTAACATCCGTACATTGTAAGATAACCCACATTCCTCTTCAGTCTCTCATTTTATACAGATACTTTTTGGTAGCAATATATAGAAAGCCTTAGGTTTATATATAAAATGCATTAAAGATGACTTTTTTCTGCTTTGAAAGATTTTTTTCAGAACCGTAATTCAGATTTTTAACTTGCTCTCCCAATATTTTTACCATCATCTCACCACAAATTTTTTTTATTTTTTAGCAACATATAAGTGAAAAAATACAAAATATACTTTAATTATATTTATTTATATAATATATATTTTTATTTCACAATAAAATGATAAATATCACATGTTTTTAAGTTACAGTAATAGCTGGAAGGATTACAGTTGTAATCTAAATAATAGTTTTAACAGTTTTGCTGGTAAATGATGGTTACTGATTACATTGCTGATTTTTCTGTAATTTATTTTCTTATCATAATCAAACATGCACGTATTTGTTCTCAGATAAAGAACAGGTGTGTTTGTGTTTACAAATGATCTTGATGAAAATTGAAGTAGCATTGTGCTCTATCTCTTTAAAATAAAATGAGCTCATAATTTCAAACAGATACAGTCTATCCCTGTAGTTTAAACCCTATATGAATCCTTCTAGATTAGTTTCTGCATTTCCGCTTGTCCCACAGAAAAAGAGCACATTCAAACATGCCCACCTCTCGTAACCTCTGCCACATCCCTTTGACACAGTTGTAAAAGGGATGTCTGCCTTTTACAGCCAGCAGTGCGTAAAAACAATCTCACAATACTCCCACATACCAGCCTGTCCGTACAAAACCTTCTATTATACATGAAAAGCATACAATGGCGCTGAGCTGCCTAGAGCCGTAGAAGTACAGTCACCTAAATAAAACAGCTCTGACATTTTAGATTAAAAACAGAAAGCATGTTCTACACAGCAGCAGTTTGAAAATATTCTGATGGGTCTCTTTTGATGTTTGTTCGTTCCAGGGACATCCGTAATAATGAGATCTCCCTCGCCATCGAGGACTTGGTTGGCATGTTTGTGGGTTTGAAGAGGCTGAACTCGCTGTAAGTTTGTCGGTGGATACGAGCTGTTCGATCTGACTCAAGAGATGTGAAGTGTGGCTTGACATAAGCGTATGTGTGTGTTTTCCAGAGTTTTACAGAATAATAAAATCAGGACCATCACTAAGAGAGCGTTTGAGGGTCTGATGGAGCTGGAGCATTTGTGAGTCTCTTTTATCCTTGGTATTTTGAGCACATCATTTCTCGGTTACTGGATGTCTCGTTATTACTGGATGTAGCAATATAGAAATCCCTTTAGTATTAATTTATATATTTATTTGGAAGTATGTTTCTGCCCTCGAGTACAAAACAAGCTGGTTGCGAGAGTTTATAATATGGAATAAAACCACTTTCTGAATTATAAAATCACTTTTATGAGATAGTCACATCACAACATTTGAAGTTGTGACGAAATGGAAGCAGCAACAGATCTCTTTTCCATATTGTTCTGAATGAATTCTTAACAATAAAATCTAGAATATTCATTAAAAAAAAATGCATTTTATGCCGACTTTAAATGTACACTTTTTAAAAAAAAATTTAAAGTCACAGTTATAAGAAATAAATTTGCAGTTGCAAGATAAAAAAAAAACGTTTTAAACTTTTAGGCGGAAACAGGCTTCCATAGTTCCAAATAAAAGCTAAAATCATACTAGGTGAATTGAGCATCAAAACTTTGTAAAATACAAAAGAAAAGTCCACATACAAGTCATCTTTTTAACTCAGACCCTGTAAAACATTCAAGGTTATAGATCATAGATTAATAAGGTTATGCTGTTATATTGTACATATTTGTCTAAGTGTAAATATAAATTTCATTATGCAGCACAACACAAAGAGCTCCTGTTTTGTATTGTTCCATTTGTAAATAATCTTTCTGAATTTGTTCTGCAGGGACCTGAGTAAGAATGGCATCATGTCTATTCATCCTGACGCTTTCACTCATTTAAAACTTAAAACACTGTAAGTAATTGTTTACTTTCTACAGACTGTATGTATTTCATATCTATGCATTTTACATAATATATTTTTTTGTTTCATTTTTGTCCGTATTGACAGTGTTTGTATGTAATAATAGTGTAATTCAGGTGTATTCTTAATAATGACTGTATTGTGGTCTTCCTCAGTGATCTGAACACCAGCAGTCTCCTGTGTGACTGTCAGCTGCAGTGGTTGGGCCAGTGGTTGATTGACAGTCAGTTCCAGCAATCCTGCACCGCCGTCTGTGCTCATCCTGCCTTCCTGACAGGATCTAGTGTGCTCGTTATTAAACCAGAGGAGTTTGTCTGCAGTGAGTGACCTGACAGTTACCTCATGCCTTTTTACGGCCCTGTAACAAAATGTCCATGGCCACCTTTTCTGTTTTGTTTTTTGTGCCATTTAAAAGCAATTTTATGAAAAAAAGATGAGCTCTTTCTTGCATTAAGATCACTTTATTGTCTCTCACTTGCAGATGACTTCCCTAAACCCCAGATCAGCTCTCATCCCAAGACCGCTGTGGCCTTACGCGGGACCAACGTCACTCTGAACTGCTCTGTGTTCAGCAGCAGCGACTCTCCCATGAGCACCGCCTGGCGCAAAGATGGAGAGGTGCTGTATGAAGCCCAGGTGCAGAACTACGCTCAATACCAGGATCACCGCCTCCTCTACACCACCGTACTCCACCTGCTCAATGTTAATTTCACAGATGAGGGCCAGTACCAGTGTGTGGTCTCCAACCATTTTGGGTCCAACTACTCCACTCTGGCCAAGCTCACTGTTAATGGTTAGTGCCTCATCAAAATTGATTGTTACATTGTTACATATTGTTAAATAATTGTTCCGTAATTAGCTTTTAGCCTTATTTTTTCTTCTGTCAAATTTATGATATTTTGTGTGTGAATTGGAAGTCCAATTTAATGAGCACTCACTAATAGCTATGGTAGCATATTATTAATAGTTTGTATTTGCATTTTTAGTTGTGCATTCAAGTCTTCATACCCAGAAGTGATCTTTTGCTAACCTCTGTGTACAGCTATATTTCGCACAATTGTGAGATTTACTTTTATTTTTTTGATCTAGTCACAGAATTCAAAGTGTTTGCTGGTGTCAGATTATTAATTGAAAGTGTCGATTATGTGATCATCTGCAGGACTTTTGTATTGGCGTATTGCTAAAGCGCTATGATCCCTTTAATGCTTTGATAAGCAGTTTGGCATTTGTTTTTTCCCTCTCCTTATTTACCCTCATTTCTCCATGGTTGTTTTCAGAGTTATGTCAGTTTAATTTTCCATATCTGTTGAACAAACATAGCAGCCCTCTGGGATGCCGACCTTAGCAATGTAATTATTCTGTTTATATCAGCTTATGATACTGATGGAAGAGCGGATTTGTAACCTAATAATAGAATATGACAATAACAGAAACATGATTCACAAAGCAAACACTGTAAATGCAAATTGTGCTGTTTAGGGTTTGATTGGCCATTGGGTTGCTTGTTTTTGTACTAGCTATTTAAACAAAATGAATTCTGTTGTCATATTTTATTAGTAGAAAATGATGATAATATTAGTGTAATATAACATTTGCATTGTTTGCTTTTATTTAGGCATTTTCTTACATTTCCTTACATAAAATTATTTTAAGGGTTTAATAAATATTGTAGAAGGTAGAATGAGAAAAATAATAATATACTTATTTTATTATTTAATATTATATTATTTACATATTATAATTAAATTGTAAATATAAATTTTTTAAATAACAAATTACATAACACTTTACATTACTTTAGTTATTAAAATACATTTTAAAAATGTTTTTGTTCCACTTTAATTGTGAAAAGGTTTAGGTCATTTCCTTTTTTATTTATTTATTTTTTTTTAATCCTGACAACTTCACAAATGGATAATAAATAATAATATCCTCAGATACTCCAACATTTGATTGGATAAAGTAGAAAATTATAAATCATAAATGTTATGCGTTTTTTATTATATTTATTTAGGCACTTCCTTTATGTAATGTAGGAAATTAACAGATAATTAATTAATAGAGAATAATGCTTAGTAGTAGAGCTGTTGTGATTTATGAAACATATATTTATATATTTTTTTTCTCTCTCAAAATTCCCTTTTTTGAGTGCAATATGTGATTGGATTATTAATCACATTTGGGATATTATGATTTTAAAGCAAAATTAATACAACAGTATTTAACATTACTTTTCATAAACCGTCTAACAATCTAGTGCAATTATTTACATTTTAACGTAATATAAGAAATTGTGTATTTTTACTACTTTTTATAATTTGGCGTTTAATAAAAATTGAAGAGTAGAATAATGAAAATACTGTCTTTATAAAATATCATTTATTTTAAATGCATTATATTTTTCTAATGACATATGTAATTTAAATAAATAAATGTTTACTAGGTAAAAAATAGTAAATATTGTAATATTTAAAATATTCCCCTTTCTGGTCCATTTCAATTATAATAAATTTTTTGTGGTCTTTTAACCCAGTGCTTCAATATAATATTATAGTTAAAAAAAAAGAGGATTATTATCCACAATAATCATATTTTCCTTTTTTGAATGCCAGTAATTGCAAAAACTAGAAGCATATAGGGAAGTAACGATTCACTCAACTCACGATGTGATATGATTCATCATGTGATATGATTTCACAATACAATTTTCTCACAAATTATTTTTTAACAAAATGATTTAAGACCGATTTTAAAAAAGGTGTCCTTTTGTTATTTCTCAGACCAAAAGGCTGCACACTGCTTTGTGAAATTGAAAATGTCAAACAATATGCTAAATTGAAATTTTAAAACGAATCCCAAATCAAATAAATAAATAATACAAATAAAATAAATAACTCCATGCAAGTAAACTAAGGTTTTGCCTATGTATTTTAATCACGATCCAAACAAAGATGCTGCATACATGTTATTTAGATTATTTATTCACGTTATTTTGAAATTTGAAACAAAAACAAAATGGTCTGACTTTGCTTTGTGATACTACATAAAAAATCTGAACGAAACAAAAACAATCCAATATAATGATGCGCATGCGATTTCTTTCTCCACTGTTTACGTTCATTTACATGAAAATACTTGCCGAGATAATTGTGCATGTATGTGTCCGTTCAAGCGAAACAGGAATCAATTCTGTGTTCGTGCTCTGTCTGAAACCGAACTGAATTCGTCATGCACATGAATGGTTTAAAACGCCTGAATGTTTAAATTGGTAAGACTTAGAAACACGTGTAAATGATAAACTATGATCCGTTTCAGCCCTACAAGCGAGTGAACAACGCGAATCAAGGAAGGGATTTTATATCACTATTCAAGATAGCCCGTCGGGCAGTGCAGTGATACATTTTGGTAGCCCGACTGGAAAACACAATAGCCCCTGGACGTCGGACTAGCGATTTTGCGAGCCCTGCATATTCTTATTTTACTTGCTTACCTTTATTGTCCTTAAAAGGCAATTCTTTATGTAGACAGCTGTATACATGCACATACAGCAGCAACACTACACACATAAAACACACATTTATAATAAGTCATTTAAAAACATGATTGCAGCAGGTACAAAGGAATTCTGGTATCTGTTTGATTTGCGCACAGGGAGTTTAAATCTTCGACCAGAAGGAAGCAGTTGAAATTCATTACACAATGAATGGGTGACCTTTGTTTTCACAATCTCTATTTTTCTTGTCTCAGATGTCCCAGGCAGGTCATTTTGGGATGGTGAAGAAACCCACTCTTCCATCCTCGCCCAGGGCTCAGTGACTGTACACAAGCCCCCGATAGGTCTGTCCGCTGGGGACGGCCGAGAGGAGAGGAGGGGGGCACTGGAGGAAGGCTCATACAGGACTAAGCCACAGGAAAGTGCCTCAACCCCCACATAAACCCAGCTAGCCCGTCTTCCCCAGTCCTTTTGTCTCCAAACATCACCGCCTTGTCCTTCAGTCGCCTCCCAGTGCCCTCAGCCCACTACCTCCATTGAGAAGCATCATTCTCTGCCAAATGAAATGCCTCGCTCTACAATGTTTACACTGCTCTCCTGTCCTTCCCCACCATGTTCCGTTGTAACCCACTGGGATGTGCGTGTTTTGCGGAAAACTCTTTCAGACAGGAGACTGCTTTCCCTGCTTTCACCATTCCTCAGCTAACCGGTCTGGTTTGAGCCCTGAATGTACCATTTCCAAGAGTTCCACTAGTCCTAGCGCAGCCTGTGACGTACAAATTATGCCATGTTTGGTTTTCCCGCCTACTTGAGAGCGTTGAGCCTTTTTGCATATGCCAAAGCTTGACCCAGACTCCCGTATAACTTGCTTTTGCTCTGGTACAGGACCTGTACGAATATTGACTGTGAAGATTGGACTGTCAAAAGAGGGCAGTGATGTTCTCTGCGTGACGTCAGAGGGCCAATTAACTGTATTGCATTTCTCATTCCAATTAGCAAACGGTACAGACTTCTAACCAATAATGTGCTAACAGAGTTGACGGCTCCATTGTTTCCACTGTTATTGTACGCCGAAGTTATGTCATTCATAATATTTTTTTGTTTAGTGCTTCTCACAAACCTAAACATATTTCTCAATTTCTCTCTCTGTTTTTTTTAAAGCACTATAACAAGATGGTAAGAAAGACGGGATATGTTGCACCTTTGATAATCTTCCCAGGACATCCTTATACGAATCATAATATGCTAACTTTTCTTCACTTACTCTCCATATTAAGCTTTCATATTTTTATTTTGTGTATTTTGCGACAATTTCCATTTTAATTGGTTTCCCTCATTTGCATTCTTGCAAGTGCATATCTAGTTGAATTGCAGTCTGTGATTGATCAGCATGACTGAGCACCATTGGTGTGCATTTGGGGTGGGGCTACATTCTGACTGACCAATAGGAGCATTTGAGAGAATTTCTTGCAATTCCATTTGGTGCCCTACTAGTGTAGAAATCACACAGTTCACCTTTAAAATGTGTATATGCTGCATTTGAAATCTGTTGTTACTGCTGGATCAAACTGGTCTCGTCGAGTTATTTGCCTTTTTTTGTTGTGAACCTCAAATCATCTTCTTAATTTGAGGTGTAATAAGAACCATTTTGACAGTTAGGCATAGCCATGCCTAGTCATTTTTATCATTTTGGCCTTAGAAGGACAGCTGGATTTTACATTTCTTGCCTGTAAACATTGTCTTAAGAGGCTGTGTCCAAAACCAAAGGAATCTGCCTTACAGTCCTGCTGCCCACTCATTCAACAGACACCTTTTAAGGAAACACATTTTCGACGGACTTTCAAGACACTGGAACGTCACGTCTGATGATCTTAAAATAAATTCAGAAATAAGCAAGGTCATATTTAATGACCACAGTTCTCATTCCTCAGTAGAAATTAGGCAAAAATACATGAATAAATGAATTTACTGCTTTTAGTAGTAGTACAAGCTATATTTTTTAAACTTATGCCAAACCACATGCACAGGATTGCTGGTTAACATAGGCAGCAAAATGAGTAAAAGTAACTATATGAAGCGTCTTGGTGGACACAATGTTACGCAAACATTTGATTTGATGCTTAATGCCTTCCTACCTCCAGATCAGCATTTTTCAAGTTTCGGACATAGCCACTACTTTGCTTTAAAGGTGCGGTTACATTTACATTTACGTGGTGAAATTCCATGGGCAAAATGCAGTCATGTCAATAGGAATTTGCACAATCTGGAATTTGTGTGAGGCAAAACATTTGCCTGTGCAGTTTCCACATTGGATTTAATTTTGTTAAACTTCAAACACAAATTTGCAGTGTCTACCAATTTAAAGGTGTGGTCACATTTACCACTGCTCTGCCAAACTTTGCAGGTGAAATTGAGAGTTTCACGTGAGGTTGAAAAAGTTGCCCACGCAGATTTTCGGTTGCATGAATTTGCCACGTTGACCAACAGAAAGCTGCCTTAAAGTGACTTCTGTGTGAGCCGTGCTTTATACATCACTACGCTGTTGAACCCTGTTTTATGACTGCACCTCAAGTCTGCTTAGTTTAGAAGTGACCTCTGAGTAATGGACCTTCTTTGCCCACAAAACTTCCCCTTAAGGATTCGGACTCACTTCCAACGCTTGATGATCCAAACCATGTGTGTGGATCCCGAACCATTTATTTTGTTCAGAAAGCTCCACAACATAGCAGTGCACTGACATTTTGCACTTTTTGAGTATACAAAAGCTGGATCTTGCGTTGCAGCAGATATCTATGGTCACTGTCTTCCCCTGTCTTTTAATGGAAATGCTTTATTTTCAACCAATTTCCAACTGTGATAAGTACCCCTTGATTTGCATATTGATTTGTTGCATTTTGCACAATCTCTTGCCTTGCAGTTAGGTGCACAATTACACTAATCGGAGACCTTGATGTCAAAAGATTTGTCTGACTCCTCGCTGTGTCAGTTTCCCTTGTTGAAAGGGAAAGGAGTGTGTGTCACCAGCGCCTTCCAGCTATGTTTAAAACATCGAGGTTTTTCGAATTACTGCTAATGCTTGCTTGGTCTCTCTCGGATGAGCTTGCGGGAGATTAGTGCAAAGCAGTTTAAAAGTAATGTGAGTGAATAGCGGTTTTATTTTACCCTGAATTATACAGGATTTAGTTGGGATCTTTAAGTGTGATTTCACTTAAAGATTTACACCAAAGAAAAATCCACACGGATCAAACATTCCTGCCTTCTGCTTAAATGCTTTGACAATATTTAAATGCTGCTTTTTTTAAATGTTTCGTTTATTTTTTGTGTATTTGTTTTTGTATGCTGTACCTGTACATTCTGTAAAGCATGTATAAAGAACATTATGTTTCAGAAAATTCTGACATTTAGCTGACATTTAAACAATAAAATGAATTCGGATGCATCACGAGTGAAGATGTACACGTTATTCAAATAATCTGTTATTAGTGGAACAAGCTAAGGGAAGGAGCACTATTGCAATTGCTCATATTTAGGGTCTAACTCTAGGTTCTAACCCTTTAAAAGCCTACTGTATCATATTTGATATGCACATTTCTAAAGTAATCTGCATCAGCAATCATGAGCAAACCAACTACAAAACTGCTAAAAAAAAAAAAATGATGCAACAGGCTTTGAGAAACATTTCAATCACATCTCATAGTTATGTTGCTTTGCATTGTTTTGCCTCCACAATTAAACCCACAGAACTTTGATAATACAATGAAGCATTTAAAGATCATCTTGCTGAGAAATATACCTACTGTATCATATTTGATATGCACATTTCTAAAGTAATCTGCATCAGCAATCATGAGCAAACCAACTACAAAACTGCTAAAAAAAAAATAATATGATGCAACAGGCTTTGAGAAACATTTCAATCACATCTCATAGTTATGTTGCATTGCATTATGTTTTGCCTCCACAATTAAACCCACAGAACTTTGATAATACAATGAAGCATTTAAAGATCATCTTGCTGAGAAATATAATTGAGAGTTATAAAGTGACAGTTGATATTTATATGCATTTAATATATATTTAAAAAGATATCCTTGATTTTACAGTACAAGCTATCAGAATTTCATCTTACTTTTTGGCTATATAAATCACAAGATTGCACCAAGTTATGAATTTTTGCTCCGTTCTTGAGAGTGACATCCATATTCTGTATTTGATATTCTATATCATTCTACAGTATATCAGCCATAAAATACTGATGTATCAAATATGATACTGACATGCAGACTTTTTCATAGATTTCTAAAGGTTCAATAAACTGTTCCATTTAAAAAAAAAAAGTATTTTTCTGGACTATTATTTTATATACAGGGTTAATATCAAATACGAAGAGGTTGATTCTGCAGGTTGATCTGCTATTGTTTTCTGTTTCATGAAAGAACAAAATTCTGACATGAGGGTGAGTAAATTCTAACGTTTTTCATTTTGAGTGAGCTATTCTTCAGCGTTATTACTTTGTGGGGGAAAGTGACAGACTTTTTCATAGATTTTTTAAAAATCGATTTCTAAAGGTTCAATAAACTGTTCTATTTAAAAAAAAATGTATTTTTCTGGACTATTATTTTATATACAGGGTTAATATCAAATACGAAGAGGTTGATTCTGCAGGTTGATCTGCTATTGTTTTCTGTTTCATGAAAGAACAAAATTCTGACATGAGGGTGAGTAAATTCTAACGTTTTTCATTTTGAGTGAGCTATTCTTCAGCGTTATTACTTTGTGGGGGAAAGTGTTGTTATTGTAAGTGCACTGTATTAGCGTTATGCCACAGCTCACTTACAGTGTTATTGAATTATGCTAATGTAGTAAACAGCAGAACTTTTCTGGAAGTTTTCGCTGTGTTTAAAAGGACGCAGACCCATTTGAATTCCTCTAAATATTTGAACTGACAATTTTCATTGCCGTCCTCCAAGAGATGTTCTGAGAGAGAAATTATAGTTGTGAGATCAAAGTACATACCTCCGCCTGCTGCTAACCCTCTTTACTCAGCTTTATCAATAATTCATTCAAGACTCGCTTTGGATTATTACACTAGTGGAACAGGGACGTGCTGCGCCCTCTGCACGCGCTGTCCTGCAACGCTCAAGAAAAATCTCTGGCTATTGCCTTCGTTTAGACCATAACTGAGACTAGAATAAGTTTGGAACAACCTGTAGATATCTAATAAGCTAGTTTATTTGTGTTCAGAGCCATGCACTTTCCAGATTTAATATAGGAGGAAACAGGCCATACTGTCGTTTAAGTGGTTTTGTATTTTGTATTCAAACACCTTGTTTAAAAATTCCTTAAAATAATTGAGCATTCTGTCCTCCAAATTAAAATGTCACTATCTTATTCATTTCATATGATTTGTTAAAAATGCCCAAAATGAACTACAAAATGAAGGTGAATTTTGAGAACAAGGTTTGATATTTTTGCTCTTATTCACTGTCTCAGGTGTCACACTAAACATCTTACTGCTCAGACATTGCATTTTTATATCAAGTATCAGCAGGTCTTTGCTGAGTACACGGGTTTAGCTATACAGTTGTGTTTTCATGCCACTTACAGAAAAAAAACTACATATTTTTTACATTTTTATAGGGATTCTAAGAGTTTTGTTCTATAATACTGCCCAGAATAAACTGCATATATGTGACCCTGGACCACAAAACCAGTCCTAAGGGTCAATTTTTCGAAATTGAGATTTATACATCATCTGAAAGCTGAATAAATAAGATTTCCATTGATGTATGGTTTGTTAGGATATGACAATATTTGGCCGAGATACAAGATCTGGAATCTGAGGGTGCAAAAAAAATCTAAATATTGAGAAAATCGCCTTTAAAGTTGTCCAAATGAAGTTCTTAGCAATGCATATTACTAATCAAAAATTATTTTAATATATTTACAGTAGGACATTTACAAAATATCTTCAAGGAACATGATCTTTACTTAATATCCTAATGATTTTTGGCATAAAAGGAAAATCAATAATTTTGACCCATACGCTGTCTTTTTGGCTATTGCTACAAATATACCCCAGCGACCAAAAATAAAAATTACATCTCACCATCAAGGTGTTCAAAACCTGTATGAGTACGTTTTTTTTCTCCTTCTGTTGAACACAAAACAATATATCTTATGCTTTGAAGATATGCTTTTATTTTGTTTTTCAACCTTTTTTTTCTTTTTTGAAGTTTGAAAGCTCCAGTCTCCATTTATCATTTATCATAATTGCATGGAGAAGTGCATCTGGCACAGTGTTCATAATTTCTCCTTTAGTATTTCACAGGAGAAAGTCACATGGATTTAAAACAACATGATGATGACTACATGAAAGGATTTACATTTTTGGGTGACCTGTCCTTTTAAGACCCAAATATGTGTCAACTTTAGAGCAGGTATTATGTTGTCTTGTGGAATACACAGTATCTTTTCCACCAAATAGAAAAAAGAGAAACATCTTGAAGGTTCTGCGAGAGCTATATGTTATTTGAGCATTGCTAGAGATATGTGGGCTGGTCTGTAAATAACTTGGTGGTAACTAACACTCTGAAATTAGTTTCATGTCTGGTCTTGTTCTTCAGTATAATTAACCATGCGTCTACACACTTCCTGCTGCTTTTCCTGTGTCTGATCTTTATACTCAGGGGAAATACATGTGTTCTGCCTTTTGAAGTGCACAGCAGTGATTAGGAATTAAATTGAATCCTTTACAAACTGAAGAAGGCTCTGATTTGATTCGTCTTGACTTGTCTGTAATTAATAAGGGAGCTGAGCGCATGAATAGTGTGTCATGTTTGTCTTAAGCAATGGCAGATTGAATGATGAGACTCAAGTTATGCTGCAGTTACAACTACTCACCAAAAAGTGGCAGCTTTGAGTCTTACGCTACACTACAGGACTGTGCTATTAAGATAACTGGGTGTATAATTTGATTACAAGATGAAATATTCACTGATTACTTGTGATATCCTCACCTAGACTTAAGCTACTGATTAAATTACATTATCAGATTAATAAGACAGAAAGAATAAAAGGGCAAGCGCTGACGTTACATTTATTATTTGATCATATTTGGTAATGGGAGCTTATTCTGACATGTTTTTAATGCTTTACATTTTACATTTGGTAGACGATTTTATCCAAAATGGCTTTTGTCGCATTTAAGGTATACATGTTATCAACTTTCCTGGGAATCGAACCCATGACCTTGGCGTTGCAAGCACTATGCTTTTTTTTTTAAAGTAAGTATGTTTTGAATTATGTACTGCTTTAAAAAGGAAAAAAAAAAATGCATTTATTTATTTATTCTAAGTGTTTTCTTTCAGGAATGGAATCAGACTTGTATAGGTTTGTTGTCAGCATGTTTTTGAAAGTCAAAGCACGGGTTTTTTCCCTCGATTGTGAGCCGGAAATACATAGGCATCCAAGATTGTGTGTAGCTTGGTGACATGCAAAGATTGATGCTTTGACTTTGAATTATTTGCATTGGTGAAAAAGAAATACTAGCTCATTTTTGTCTGAAATGTAAGTTACTTGATTACTTGTTTAAATACCTATTACATAAAAGCAATTCTTGCACATTACTGAAGAAACGTGTATTTACATTAAGTTATTAATTGCGTTTAACATTTTGGTACGTTCAAAGCTGAGGTTTAGTATTGAATTACAGTGATTTTTCCACAGGTGAGAGGCATTTTAAGCCACAACATAAAGCAGAAAACCCCATCATTTTGGGTCAAATCACTGTATAACACACAGCCTCTCCTGGCTTATTGTTTTTATCAAACTGATGCAATGGAATTATGAGAAAAGCCAATGTAATTTAATAAATAGTTGCATTTTTTATTAGTAATAATTAGAAGTTACATAGTCCATTAGCCAAACTGTTGCTTAGGGCTGCCAAGCAGAGTGGAAACTCTCACATTTACAGGTGTGCGTTTATTGGCTCATCTTACAGCGAATTAGAACGCCACTCATCCAATCAGAATTTAGAGTCAAAACTGTCTGTTTTATAATTGGTTCGTTTGTATCTTCACTTACTAAATCGGTTAAGCTCAGTTTATATAAACTTCCACCTGAGAGCCATCCAGTCGCAGGCCGCTTTTCGTTACATACACAATCGCTTCTTCATTTGACCAACACAAGCTGAGAGCAACAGTAGCCTCCCTCCGTGACTGGAGATCTGAGAGAGCAGCCGCCGCCGCGTCTGACAGCATCGCAGCGTCCATCTGAGGCGATACACACATGTTCGACCGGTTTATTTCTCTCGTACGCTGTCTGTCAAGGGCTCATATTGTGTGTAAAGCTGACGGTTCAGCCACAAGCCAGGAATGAGGACGCGTCAGACGCATCTACTCTCTGACTGGGCATCGCGTTTCGACGACGAACCTGAGCTTCGGCCGTTTGGACAACAACAGAATATAGCCGAGACAGCCGCTGCCGTAGCTCTTTATACCTGTGGGACACTGTTTTGCTGCTAATTCCGTTTATAGACACCCATTTTTATTACGCTGTCCTGACAGACGCGTTTCTCAGTGTGTCAGTCTAGTGCGCTTGATGCAAACCCTGAGTGAACTTACCAGGTAAACACCGTTTTTACCTCGTTCTTGTATCGAATGTTGTTTACTTTGGCATTATGTAGCTCCTGGCGCATTTGGAACAGGCGTTTTTACGAGCGAATGCTAAGGTAATATCTAAATGTTGTCTTGAACTAATAATGGCAGATGAGGCTTATGGCGATATCATCACGGGCTGGATGGCGTTCCACATCCGCGCGCTGTCGTCCCCAAACCGGGTGAAGTGAACGGCACACCGGGAAGCAAGGCTTCAAAACCTGCTCACGTCAAACTGCACTGAAACTTAAAGGCTAAACGATGTCTAAAACGCTGAAGAGGAAGAAACACTGGTCCACTAAAGTGCAGGAGTGCGCCGTGTCGTGGGGAAGCGTTGGGGAGTTCGGTGATGTTGTGGAGATCCTCGGAGGCGCCGAGCACGGGGAGTTCCCGTTCCTCGGTCAGATGAACTTAGACGTGCTGGTGTGTCACGTCGGGAGGCTACCGTACTACGGGGATGTGTTATTGGAAGTGAACGGGACACCTGTCAGCGGGCTGACGAACCGAGACACACACGCGGTGATCCGCCACTTCCGAGAGCCGATTCGAATTAAGACCGTCAAACCAGGTAAACTGAGAGAACTTTGTTTTTGTTGGCGTTAAAAGTGAATGTTGCCAAACAGTACTGTTGCCAGGAGAGTTGTCTGTCTGGCTCACAGCGCACCTGTATCTTCGAGGCTTGCATTTAAAGGGACAGTTCATGCCAAAATGGTCTTCGTATGTAGCTTAGACACATCATTATTTACAGTCATATGATTGTATTGCTTTCGTGAAACAGGAAAGTTTATCACTTGGGTTGTTTAGCGTTTTATCTTTATGTATGCAGAATGTTCACGTTGCTCCTTTCCATACAACGAAAGTGGATGGGGACTGGGGCTTAGTGCTGCAGCCATGACGTCCAAACCCAGGAGACTAATTCGCCATGGGTTCCCTCGAGGTTTTCCTGTGGGTTTTTATAATGAGGTTTTCAACTCAAATTCTTTTCAGTGTGTGTGTGTGTAATTTACATTGTTCTGCAAAAAGTCCAATAGTCAGTTCATATTTACCACAGACCTTGTTTCATAAATTGAAAAACCCCATTATAAAAGACTAATAGGAAAATCTTGAGGGCACCCATGGCAAATTAGTCTTCTAATTACAATAAGGTTCCATTTGTTGTAATTAGTTAAATACATTAGTTACCATACAACAATGGAAAAATACTTCCAAACTATTTATTAACCTTAACTGCAATATTTACTAATAATATTAAAATCAAACGTTAATATGATTTAATTAGACCGGTGCTAATGGGAACATACAATGAATGAACCAGCATTGATTTGTAAACCTTAAGTAACAAATTGAATTAATGAATAATTAACAAACGCATCACCCATAGTTAATATTGGTTAATACATTACCATTAGTTGGACCCTTTTGCACACTCTTAAAAATAAAGGTTCCAAAAGGGGTTTTCATAGTGATGCCATAGAAGAACCAATTGGGGTTCCTCAAAGAACATTTCATTGAACAGTTCTTAAAATAACTTTTTTTTTCTTCGTGTGAAGAACATCTAAAAATCTAAAGACCCCTTTTCCTCTAGGCCTATATATATATAAAAAATATTTTGTGCAGTGGAAGGGTTTCATGGCGCCAGATGCCAATAAAGACCCTTTATTTTTAAGATTAACATTTTACGAAAAATTGTCTTCATTTACTCATCCTCCGTTAATTCAAAGCTGTATGACTTCCTTCTACTGTGCAAACTGAATAAAGGTAATTGCCTAGATGTTATTTATTTATTTTTGTCCACACAATGAATGTCAAAGGGCTTCGGTATTTTTTGGATACACCAGTGTTCTTCGAAATCTTTTTTTTTAATTTATTTATTTTTTTTCTTCACACAGAAGAATGTAAGTCATACAGGTTTGGAATGGCATGATGGTGTGTTAATGCTGACATAATTTCCCATTTGGGTGAACTAACAGAAAAAAAAACATGAATATTGAATCTGAATATTGAAGAATTCTTCCATTTCATTTTTTTGAGCTCAACAGCCCCAGCATGAACCGCGTGAACATTCAGTGAAACATCTCTTTTTGTGCTGCACAGAAGAAAGTTTGAACTATCCCTTTAAGACTGTGTAATTTCTACTTCATAGAACACTGAGAGCATGGACAAGTACTTTGCCGAACAGCATTCAGAAGATTCTTTGTTTTCTCCCTCATAGTGGTTGCACCACATGCCCTGACTCTGACTTGTGCTGTACTTAAAGTGCCTTTATGTCAGAGGCACAGCGTTTGCCTTAGGGTTGGTGGGTAGTAAACACTCCACACACATCTTATAAAAGCACGAGCATCATTTCTAAGGACACTCGCTGTTGGAGTGTGTATTGATTATAGCAAGTGGGTCACCTTTACTTAGGACAGGCCTGTGCACCTTACTGGTGTATGAGGGCATGATGAAAATGGGGAGGAGGACGCTGTTACCATGGGCACCGAATATCTTAGCATTATTGATGGGTCGCATGAGTGTATTCTTAGCAGGAGGAGGGGAAAGGCACAATATGTCAGAGTTGTTATGGAGATAGGAGGATGTTATTGGCATGTAGATGTGAGAGTTGTTGCCATGGAGAGAAGGAGAGGGTACAGAAGGATAACATTAACTGGATGGTTGATTGCTGAATAAATGGACAGTGTCTGAGATTGTGTGAGCATGCACATCAGCGGCAGCTGAGGCCCTGACCTTTAGGACGTATAAGTGTGTGCGATCTTTTGTGGTTACGGTGAGTGTATATGAGGGTTTTATAGAGAGTGAGACTAATTTGTGCATATTTCTGACCAATTCATTGGCTCATAAGAGTTGTTAGACTGATTCAAATTGCTAACTTGAGTTCAAGAATTATTTGTGAGTTTTGGAAGGGATTCTTATGTCTAAGCAATTCATTAGATCATAAGAGTAATTTGTTTGTGGATCAGAGTTATGAGATAATTCAGTTTAAAACTTATCTGTCTGAATCAGAGTATTTTGACCAATTTATTGACCCATTAGTGTAATTTGTATGTTAATCAAACTGTTCTGGTCAGTAAGCACATTGTTAAACTGATTCTCATCAGTAACGTGAGTTAGGAGCTAATGAATTGGTCAAAAGAGTTATTTGTTTGATGTTATTAAGATGAGTTAATGAGGGTTGAAAGGTTAAGCCAGTAACTCATGCATTTGAGGTGGATTGTGAGTATTTTTTACCAGTTCATTATCTCAGAGTTTGATTCAAACTGATAAGTTCAAGAATTATTTGGGACTTTTGGGCAGTAGGGGTTCAATCTTCAACTGGCTGGCAGGAGCCGCCACTGACAGGTCACGTGACCTGCCAGTGGTTGGTTGCAGCTGCCAGTGGCAAGTCACGTGACCTGTCAGTGGTTGGTGGCAGCTGCCAGTGGCAGGGCACGTGACCTGTCAGTGGCTGGCTGGCTGGCAGTATGCCTTAACAAGATCCACTGGCGGATCAGTCAGACAGCCGCAAGAGCGCTCCGAGTTTAACGCGTTCTCTACCACTCTCTCTACAAGGAAATATATTATTTTATGATTATTAATATATTCTTATGGGTCTAGTCTTTTAATTTGTCGACATTTTATAGAGGCTTATTATAAATAAAGTGCCCAAATGGCCGTGATCCCAACTGCCAGCTGGTTGTCGCTTCCACTGGCGGATCAGTCAGACAGCTGCAAGAGCGCTCCGAGTTTAACGCGTTCTCTACCACTCTCTCTACAAGGAAATATATTATTTTATGATTATTAATATTCTTATGGGTCTAGTCTTTTAATTTGTCGACATTTTATAGAGGCTTATCACAAATAAGGTGCCCAATTGGCCGTGATCCCAACTGCCAGCTGATTGTTGCTTCCACTCGCGGCTCAATCCAGCCAGCCACGGTTAAACGGCGAGTATAAAGCGTTCCCTATCACTCTTGCTGCAAGGAAATACATTATTTTATTATTATGAATATATTCTTATGACTCTATTCTTTTGTATGATTGACGTTTTAGGTGGGTTTATCCCAATTAAAGCAGTCAAATGAACATGATCACGACTGGTTGCTTACTGACGCTTCTCTGGACGCTCAACCAGCCAGCCGCTGCTTATTGGCATGTAGATGTGAGAGTTGTTGCCATGGAGAGAAGGAGAGGGTACAGAAGGATAACATTAACTGGATGGTTGATTGCTGAATAAATGGACAGTGTCTGAGATTGTGTGAGCATGCACATCAGCGGCAGCTGAGGCCCTGACCTTTAGGACGTATAAGTGTGTGCGATCTTTTGTGGTTACGGTGAGTGTATATGAGGGTTTTATAGAGAGTGAGACTAATTTGTGCATATTTCTGACCAATTCATTGGCTCATAAGAGTTGTTAGACTGATTCAAATTGCTAACTTGAGTTCAAGAATTATTTGTGAGTTTTGGAAGGGATTCTTATGTCTAAGCAATTCATTAGATCATAAGAGTAATTTGTTTGTGGATCAGAGTTATGAGATAATTCAGTTTAAAACTTATCTGTCTGAATCAGAGTATTTTGACCAATTTATTGACCCATTAGTGTAATTTGTATGTTAATCAAACTGTTCTGGTCAGTAAGCACATTGTTAAACTGATTCTCATCAGTAACGTGAGTTAGGAGCTAATGAATTGGTCAAAAGAGTTATTTGTTTGATGTTATTAAGATGAGTTAATGAGGGTTGAAAGGTTAAGCCAGTAACTCATGCATTTGAGGTGGATTGTGAGTATTTTTTACCAGTTCATTATCTCAGAGTTTGATTCAAACTGATAAGTTCAAGAATTATTTGGGACTTTTGGGCAGTAGGGGTTCAATCTTCAACTGGCTGGCAGGAGCCGCCACTGACAGGTCACGTGACCTGTCAGTGGTTGGTGGCAGCTGCCAGTGGCAGGTCACGTGACCTGTCAGTGGCTGGCTGGCTGGCAGTATGCCTTAACAAGATCCACTGGCGGATCAGTCAGACAGCCGCAAGAGCGCTCCGAGTTTAACGCGTTCTCTACCACTCTCTCTACAAGGAAATATATTATTTTATGATTATTAATATATTCTTATGGGTCTAGTCTTTTAATTTGTCGACATTTTATAGAGGCTTATTATAAATAAAGTGCCCAAATGGCCGTGATCCCAACTGCCAGCTGGTTGTCGCTTCCACTGGCGGATCAGTCAGACAGCTGCAAGAGCGCTCCAGCCACTGGCAGGTCACATGACCTGTCAGTGGCAACTCCTGCCAGCCAGTTGACGATTGAACCCCCACTCCTTTTGGGACTGATTCATATTTTTAGCCAGTTGATTAGATCATAAAGAATAATTTGAGTTTTTTTTTGTTTTGTTTTTTTTACCAATTCATTAGCTTGTAAGTGTTATTTGTTTCACACTGTTAAGCTATAAACTCACGAGTTAGAGATGGATTCGAAAGCATTTCCGACCAATTCATTATACGGGTGGGCGCTGTACTGGTATGAAAGTGACTACCGGTATTATGTTGTTCCATTATATGGATTTTGCTATACCGTGGATACCATTTATATATATAT